ATTTCTGCAGTATTATGTTCCATTGATCTATGTGCCTATTTTTTTTTAAAGATTTTATTATTTATTTGACAGAGAGAGAGATCACAAGTAGGCAGAGAGGCAGGCAGAGAGAGAGGGGGAAGCAGACACCCCACCAAGCGGAGAGCCGGATGTGGGGCTCGATCCGAGGACCCTGGGATCATGACCTGAGCCGAAGGCAGAGGATTTAACCCACTGAACCACCCAGGCACCCCTATGTGCCTATTTTTGTGCAAGTACCATACCGTTTTGATTAGTATGCTTTGTAGTATATCTTGAAATCAGATTTTGATGCTTCCAGCTTTGTTCTTCTTTCTCAAAATGCTTTGGATTAATTGAAGTTTTGTTTTAAGATATTTATTTATTTATTTATTTATTTATTTATTTATTTATTTTGAGAGAGAGAGAGAGCAAGCGAGCGCACAGCTGGAGCAGCAGGGGCAGAGAGCCTCTCAATCAGACTTCCCGCTAAGGGCAGAGCCCGAAGCGGGGCTTTTCCTGGGATTTGTTCTCACCACCCTGAGATCATGACCTGAGGGAAATCAAGAGGCAGGCACTTAAGACTGACTGAACCACCCAGGTGTCCTGCTTAATTGATGTTGTTGGGTTTTGTTTTAAAGATTTATTTATTCATTTATTCATTTAAGAGGGAAAGGGAGAGAGAGCACATCCATGAGCAGGGAGAGGGGCAGAGGGAGAGGAAGAAGCAGACTCCCTGCCAAGGGAGGATACCATGCAGATCTCAATCCTAAGACTCCAAGATCATGACCTGAACCAAAACCAAGAGTCCGATGCCCAACTGAACCACCCAGGTACCTGTAATTGGTTTTTTTAAAAAGATTTTATTTATTTGACACACACACAGAGAAATCACAAGTAGGCAGAGAGAGAGGGGGAAGCAGGCTCTCTGCTTAGCAGAGAGCCTGATGTGGGACTCGATCACAGGACCCTGAGATCACGACCTGAGTCAAAGGCAGAGGCTTAACTCACTGAGCCACCCAGGCACCCCGTAATTGATGTTTTAATGAGTTCTTGGACTAGATACCCTTACGTTTCAACTACATAAATTGTTATATACTTAGAAACCTTCCTAAGGATACTTACATTCATGATTAAGCAATTCTATCATTTCCAGTAGTTTGCATATTTAAAGTAGGTGAGTTCTCTAGCTAAGATGTAAATACAGTCAGATTTACAACGTTTAACAAAGGAAATAATCTTGGTGGGCAACTCTTGTCTGATATCAGATTTCTTTGGGAATTTTTGTAAAGATCAAAGAAAAGTCCATTGAACACTCTCTCAAAGATTTTTTACTTAACCTTTATTGTTCTTTATTCCTTCTCCACCACTCTCCTCTCTGCCTCCTGCAGTGCTCTGTATGGAAGTTTAACACTGCAGCAACCCCCACCACTTTATAAGCAGTCAAGGGTGCATTAAGATCATGGTGGTAGATACAATTCTAATACCTCAGGGCCCCAGTCACTATGTGAAAGATTTATCAGAAATACTGTACACTTAACAGACCATTTCCTACCTTTTATCTGGTCATTATGGAAGGTAGAAAGAGAAAAGCTTCCTAGGAGTTGCATGTTACCTAACAATGCGTTGACAACAAAAGGCTAAGAGTATAAATAGATCCTTGTCTTCTTGATGACAATTAACAAATACTGATTCTCTTCCCTGCTTATTGAACATACAAACTCATATGGACCCTTGCTTATTTATGTAGTGTGTCATTATGTTTATTTTCAGACTGATGGAGAGAGGTAGTTCTCTTCTTGGCTTTTCAAAGTACAGATTCTCTCACGCAAACATGTAGAATTTTTAATAGACATCTGCCATTTTCTACTTGGACAGTTTTCACTAATATTTTTAGATCCAAAGGGCTATTTCTTTTCCAATAGCATCTTTTCCAGTCCACCTTGACATTTTAACAGTTAGGTTTTAAAAATAAACAGCATTGTCTAGTTTTACAGTGCTCAAAGTATTCAGACTGGATGTGATACTGTTTTCTTTGCTGACTGGGCCTGCATTCTCAGAACTCACTGCAGAAATGGCATTCAAGACTGTGCTGATTGGAGTGATGAAAATTTATGTGAATAGAAGACTTCTCTAATCATGTTTTGGAAAAGCTAAAAACTGTTACTAGTTACCTTAAGACTTCTCTCCAAAAGAAAAAAAAAAAAATGACATGTGTATCTTACTGGGGAGAGAGGAGCCTCCTGGAGCATGAATCCAGTGTTATGTAATGGAGAAAAGTCTGATTAGTAGAAATGAGACCCAACCTTTAGTGACCTTTAGCCATATCTAAACTTGTTTCCAAATTTTCGAATGCAACTTTCTGTCATGTGTGCCACAGGGTAATTATGGGGATGACACAAATTTACCCTAGTTTGATTATTTCAACAAATAAAAGGTATTAATCCTAAGAGTTCTCAGATCAAAATTAGATGTATTATCTCTTCATTAGCATAGCCCTGGTTCAGATTCAGCTGAAAGCTTGTTTGGCCCAGGGCTAGTCTTGAAAACAGTAGACAACAGCCAGCATGTAGTGACAACATCCAAAAGATCAACCAGGGGCTTAACATTCTTTCTAGCAGTGCCTGAGATCAAAAGATCAGACCTGGGTTTGAATCTCATGCTGCCACACAACAAGCTGTGTTGACCTGAGACTCACCTCTTGAAGATGGTTTCCTTTTTTTTTTTTTAAAGATTTTATTTATTTATTTGACAGACAGAGACCACAAGTATGCAGAGAGGTAGGCAGAGAGAGAGAGGAGGAAGCAGGCTCACTGCTGAGCAGAGAGCCCGATGCGGGGCTCGATCCCAGGACCCTGAGATCACGACCTGAGCCGAAGGCAGAGGCTTAACCCACTGAGCCACCCAGGCGCCCCAATGGTTTCCTTTTTTGTACAACGTGGCTCTTTGGTGGGGGGACGGGGGGCGGGGGGATTGTTATGATAACCGATGAGATTACATAAAACAAGTGGAACAGAGCAGAACATCTAATAGCCAGAAGGATTGTGGGCAATTAAAGAAAAAAATATAAGGATATGGTGGGTTGTAGTATTGTTCAATAGTATTTGCTGCCCTGCTCTGAGGGAGTATTAGATTTCCTCAGTCTTCATGGCCATCAGACTTGACTATGTACGTGACTTTCTCTGGTTGACGAAATCGGATTAATGATGTGCATCACTTCCCAACATAGGTTTGCAGAGCCAGCTGGTGGTTTGCCCGCTTTTCCCAATCCTGAGACCAGCAGTGTTCTAGTCAGATGCTACTCCTGGAGTAAAGTGGAGCCCAGCCACAGGCAAACCATAAACATCAAGTGTGTCAAATAAATCTTTGTAGCAACTAAAATTTTAAGTCATTTGCAACTGTAGCATAACCCTGTTTATCACGGTCTTTTAAGGTATTACAAGAAAAACCTTTCTTATTAATCTATGGCCCCTAACACACAACAGACCATTTAAAAAATGAAATGATGAAAAAACTTTTCTCTAGGTTGTTGGAGAAAGACTATGGGTACAAGCAAAACAGGATTAACCCTAGTCAGCATCTGCTAAAAAAAGCAAGTTGCCTGACTTGGAAATCCACTGTACTTCTCTAGTCCCATTCCTGTATGGATCTTGTACAAATACCTACAAGGATATTCAGAGTGACATTCTTCACATGCCCAAGCCAGCCTATAACTTTCACCTCGGTATCTTGGAATGAGCTGAGAAAATCTCTAACTTAAAATCTCATTTCCTCAAAGTACGGCCAGTGGACCGGCAGTATCAGAATCACTTGGGAACTCATCAGAAATGCGAACCTGCAGGCCCCACTCCAAGCCTTCCCAATCTTTTGCCCTCCTTTAGCCATTCCACTTGGTCAGTTAACATATAAGTGACATTTGTGTGTAACAGCTTTCTAAGCCAGCAAAGAAGCCCAAGTTGAGTGTTCCAGGTAGAGGATGCAGTCTGGGGCTACAGTGATTATGTAGCAGAGTCCAACCAGACCCACAATAGTCTGGAAACATGTACTTCTATTTTGCAATTTTGTAAATCATTGACACTGAAGTCTTTGCTACTGTAGCAGTGTACTTTAACAAGACGGATACACGTCCTTTAAAAATAACACAATGTTAAAATGTGCAAATACTATTTATACAAGTATTTCATTTTTGGTAGTTTACTTACAGTGACTTTTAGATATAGCTGCATAGTACCCTCAGAAGGTACTTAAAATTGTTATGTAAACTTAAAACGAATTCTTATGGCTACAAGTAGAAACTACGACAATTTTCTTTCTCATTTGCCTTGATGCAGATGACACATTTATTTTAATTATCATTTGTTAATTTTTAAGTTTCTTCAACATTATGATTGCTAATACAAATTTTTTTTTAAGTAGCCTTATAGATGGGATGATGGAACTGTTCAGTATCCTGATTGGGGCCCAGGCACAAATATTGTATGCTAAATTTCTTTCAAATGTATACATGTCAACTTTACTGTTATTTCAAAGATTTTTTTTAGAGAAAAAAGTAGCCCTATTAAAGTGTTACAACTTAAATTTAAGATGAGGTGACATTCTTAATACAAACACTAGTTTTTTCAGGGGTCTTACAGAATATCCTACAAGAAGAGTTGAAGTAATGAAATAATGAAGTTGAAATAGAAAGCTGAAATAATGAAAAAAATCACTTTTTCATCAAGAGATTACTTCCACTTTTTTAAGGTAACCTTGCGTTACAACTAGAAAGTGGAGCTATTAACCCCTACTTCGTAGATTGAGAATTAAATGAGAGAAAATTAAGTGCAGTAATATGTTAAAGGCACTTGGTATATACTTACAATATAGACAATATTAAGAGAAACTCTTTCTCACCCACTAAGCAATATTCCATCCCTTATAATTATACCCATTACTTACACCACTGTAGCTCTGAGGGCTGCTAGAGACAAGTTTTAAAATATGAGAACTTTATACCACCTCTGTTATATTATACGGCCATTTAAAATCTTTAATCAAATTTCACCAAACATTACCAGCCATATTACATGCCATGATTAGCTTTCTATAAACAACTTTGCTTTCCATGTACAAATCAGTGTTAATGAAATAAAAAATAAAACCGTATCCTAGGCAAAGAACTTTATTAATCTTGTTTCTAACTTTATTCCCAGGCTTCTTCAGCTTAATTAGCTGCAAAGAATGAATTGTGTATAAGCAAAAACTGAAAAGAGCTGCAGTGTCCAAGGGGCTTGGGCTTAAAAATATTAGAGATCTAGATTTTATCAGATCCATGAACAAAATTTTAAAAAGCAGTCATAATATAAAATAGCAGCTCCCAGTAACTTCTTCAAGTTTTATCTTCTCCAGAAGTTGACCCAATTCAGTTTGCTTCATTCTTGGAAGCTTCATCAAAATTCTCCACAAGATCTAGGGGGGAAAAAAAAAAAAAAAAAGAAAAAAAAGAAAAACTGAAAAATCCCAAATCTACAAATATCAGATTTTAAAAAGAGGTTAAAAAAATGCTCTCAAAATATATCTTACAGTTAAAAATCAAGATATATACCTAAAAACTTTATTTCCAAAGAGACCACTACCCATTTGGCACATTTTCAAGTATAGGTTCTGGGATTTAATTAAAACAAGGAAAAGAGGGAAATTTATTAATCTAATGACACAGATACTATGCTTAAAAATATGCACATGCCCTCCCCAGTTCCATTTCACCCCAAGAATTAAAACTGAGCAATAGTGATATATTAGTCAACATGGTGGTCAAAACCAAAGAACACCATCACAAACAACATGAAGTTTACCTGGATTCCTAAAGGACACCTATCTAGGCAAAGTGGAAGTATTTTAGTCTAGTGATTCTATTGCTCAATAAACATGTTTTATAACAAAACAATTTATCTTTAAAAAAAAAGATTTATTTATTTGAGAGAGAATGAGAGAGAGAGAACATGAGAAGGGGGAGGGTTAGAGGGAGAAGCAGACTCCCCGCTGAGCAGGAAACCCAATGTGGGACTCAAGCATCATGACCTGAGCTGAAGGCAATTGCTTAAATAACTGAGCAACCCAGGAGCCCCCAAAACAAATTATCAAGTAACAGCTAAGACAGCAAAATCCCTCCTGATGGCCAAGAGTTTTTCTGATTTTAGAATGGTTATACCATATCCCAAGATAGCTGAACTTCTCCATGCCTTATCATGAATTTATTAATCTCTAAGTAGGAAACAGGTCTCTGTGATCTACTAGTATTCTATTTATGTGATAACATACATACTTATTCAATATATGAAGTCTCCAAGTAGAAAAAGCCAAGTCTACAAACATATCTCCTAGTTAAATAATACTGCATTATTTTTTTCATTCTGGGCAAGGTTCGTGTCTTCCTTTCCTGTCCTTTACGTTATTACCCCTTTCCCCAAGGTAAGGCTTTCCTATAGTACAAAGATTTGTTATTCTTCCTTCTAAGATTCTCTAGTTTAACCATAAATGAAGGTTCCTACCTGGAACTTCATCATCATCATCCTCTCCGGTAGCAAGTGGTGCTTTTCCATCCACAGCTGTGAGTGAAATGAGTATGTTACACATTCATTAAGTCTTTAAAAACATTAACCATAAGAACAGATGAAAGGCCAAGTGTTGTTAGAACTTATGACAACAATGACATTTGGGATTTCATCCCTAAGTACTAATAATAACACGGTAGCCTAATGTCTACAAATGAACTAGAATGCTGTTCACAGCCAACAGAACAAATTTCATACCCATATTTTCAATCATCTGACCCACCACGGGCCCTGAAGTGGTATGAAAACAGAGTGCCCCCAGGGTAGCAGTAAACACACATACCAAATTATGGGAAGATTTCTTTTGGGAGGCAAAAATTAAGAAACTCTTTTCTCAAATGTTTTGTGCATGGCATATGGGAGGTGCTTAACAAACCTTTACTGAAATGAAAATAAAATGATCAAAAAATTAAGTGCCTCTGATTGGTGGTAAGCATCCATTTTCTTTTTAATACACAAAAAAGTGAACTACACATGGATTTGAGACCTCCCAGTACTATCCCTATCAGATTTTCAGTGGGGTATTTCCAAAGCCTACTTTAGCTCTAAAGGCCCAAGACTTTCTAGAATTTCTTATGCCTCTCCATCTGACACTCCGTTCCCCCAAAACCCCCCAAACTCTATCTACATAAAAACAGAAAAATGCCTAGAAAAACATGGAAGACTAAATAATGGACCATATAATAAGCCTGTCTTGCTTCTACATTGCCATTCTCCAAAATTTTAATCAGAGAACCAGAGCATAAAAGTAGCTACATCTCTTAATGCACTTACTCAACTACAAGATTTTTCTGCCCTGAACAAAATCCTTGTACTATAATGAAAACACCCAAATAATGCCAGACCAATTCTTAAACATTACTGGTAATACCAGCTGTAAATACACTGAAAAAAATTGACAACTTATAATATATTTTAATCAATTCTAAACAGTTATCCAAAGAAAACCCCCCAAAATTAACATTTATCATTTCCAGCTGATAAAGGTAAAAATTTTAAACCACTGATCCAAAGCAAATTGGCAAAATACATTCCACTGAATCAAGTATAAAGACCACGGCAAACTAGTTAACACACTGAAAACACTAAGAACACCTGCTTAAAAGTCATTGTAAAAATTGTCACCTTTTAGAGAAAAACTGTCATTTTCAAATTTAAAGATATTCATATCTACATGAGATCTTAGAAATTTCCTGATAAATCAGTAACCCTGGGCAAAATCACTACAGGAAACTCACATTGTTTGGGCAGAGCTTCAGCCAGTCTTCTTAAACTAGTCAGACTGTCTGCACCAAGTTGGTTTAAGATACTGGGTAGCATTTCTGTCAGCTGCTTTGTCTCAGCATGGCCTGTAATGGTGAAAGTGTTCGCTGCCAGCGATGCCTGAACTTTGGGGTTGTTAAAGTGGATCACTGTTCCTTGGTTTGTGAACATATTCACCTATCAGGAAAAAAAAATTAATTAGCAACACCCAAAAAAAACAAACATTGTCTTAAGGAAAAGCTTAAGTCTGGCTAACTAATCCACTATTTCACTGTGAGGCACAGGGATATTTTGCCTGGAATGGAAAGTGCAATCTAATCACTTTCAGATTTAGCACTCCCTAATATTCACTAGTGGAGTAGAAACCTATTTTAGAGGGATATGAAATTCTCTGTTGGGAGTAGGAAAAAAAAAAAAAATTAATGCATGACCACTGAAGCTTTTTCCGACCAAAACTTGTTTTATAAAGAAATAAAATTTGATACTTACTTCTTCAATACCAGAGATATTATTTACCCCTAACTTCTTTAAGGAGAACTGAAGTTTTTTGTCATCTGCTGTAGCTGTTCTATGAACCACCTTCTTCTTTCGGCGAGCAGTTCCCTAGAGTGAGGAGAAAAGAAAACCTCACCACATATATACCATAACATTTTTTTTTTAAAAAGATTTTATTTATTTATTTAACAGAGAGAGAGAGAGAGAGAGAGAGAGAGAGATATCGATCAGAAGTAGGCAGAGAGAGAGTGGGGGGGAAGCAGGCTCCCCGCTGAGCAGAGAGCCTGATGCGGGGCTTGATTCCAGGACCCTGAGATTATGACCTGAGCCAAAGGCAGAGGGGCTTAACCCATTGAGCCACCCAGGCACCCCATAACAGACATTTTCAAAGGAAAGCTTCTAATTTCTTTCTGACCTTTGGATCTGTTTAAGAAAACTACCATAAGCACAAACTTTTAGGCAGCAAGTAGGGAACGATGGAAGCAGAAAGAGGGTAACAAAGGAATTGTCTATAAATCCTTAACAACTTCTAAGCTTCTAGTTTTGTCATATATAAAACAATGATCTTTTCAAAGTCTTATTTTTTAAATTATCTGCTCTAGAAGTGATCAAAGAGGTAGCATGTATCAACCTAAATTAAGCCTCATTTAGAAGTTCTATGTCCAGAACTATTAACCTTTTCTGTTTTTCATTAATGAAAAATCAACATCCATTAATATTCACAGGCAAGACAGTGTATGGACATGTTTAAATGAGTTTATAATAGACTTTTATAATACCTAAGAATAAAATCTTAAGTTTTGGTTTTTTTTTTTTTTAGACTATTTACAAATAGAGATCACAAATAGACAGAGAGGCAGGCAGAGAGAAAGAGGGAAGCAGGCTCCCTGCTGAGCAGAGAGCCCGATGCGGGACTTAATCCCAGGACCCTGAGATCATGACCTGAGCCGAAGGCAGCGGCTTAACCCACTGAGCCACCCAGGCGCCCAAAATCTTAAGTTTTTATCTTAAACCACAAAGCCTCTACATGATATGATCTGCTCTGCCCCTACTATTCTATTCTTGACCACATCTTCTATCACACACACATTCTCATCTTTAGCCAAATAAACCTCACAGTTCCTCCTTCAACAGGCCAAAAAGGGCCTTTGCACATACTATTCCTTTCTTCCCTACCATCTGCATTTGTTCCCTCCCTTACTACAGATCTCTGTTCTTACATCACCCTATCAGTGGTCTTTCCCAGCCACCCTATGTAAAAAAGCAACTACTACAGTTATCTATCAATCCAGGTTTATTTTCCTTCATAATTATTACTATAAGATAAATGTATTTTATTCTGTCTCCCCTCACCAGAATGTAACCTCCTTAAGAGATTCCATTCTGTTTACTGCCATGAACAGTATTGAGAACAGTATCCAGCTCACTAAAGGCACTCAGTAACTTGAATGAATGAACGAACAAATACAGGCTTCAAGCAAGTTTGTGGCCACTTGTTCATATATACCAAGTTTCCAATCTCCTCCTTCTCAAATATATCCCATAAACTTTCACAACTAGGCAAATGTGGCTCTCATTTTCTGCTTAACTCTCGGTAATACTTAATAAACTCAAGAACTCTTATGTATAGATTAAGCCCTTTACATGATACATAAAGCTCTTTATGGAAAGGTTACCACCCACCTATTTCAAAATACCCCAACCTACATACCAATTTCTATTTGTCCTTTAAAACCCTTTTCAAACCATTATCTCTTTCATGCCATCCCTAAACTCTGCCATAAACCGCCCCAAGCAAAATCATTCCCATTTCTAGATTTTGAAAATGCTTCTAGGGGCACTTGGGTGGCTCAGTGGGTTAAGCCTCTGCCTTCAGCTCAGGTGATGATTTCAGGGTCCTGGGATCGAGCATCTGGGCTCTCTGCTCGGCAGGAAGCATGCTTCCTCCGCGCCCCCCCCCCCCCCCACCGCCTGCCTGCCTCTACACCTATTTGTGATCTCTCTGTCAAATAAATAAATAAAATCTTTAAAAAAAAAGAGAGAAGGAGAGAGAAAGAAAATGCTTCTACTGCACTATGTATATTACACTATGAAAACAAATTAAAAAACAAAAAACAAGAAAACCCCTCCCCTACTGGCATTAAAGTCCCCTAAGGGAACATAAATTTCTTAAATTTCATATTCTCAGAACTGAGCACAGTTAAAGGCTTAAGTAAATGATAGCTGAACCGAGTAACATATCATAGCTACAAAAAAAATACTGGCTACCAACCCCCCCAAAAACCTTTAAGAATAAAAATCACTTTGATGTAGTCATGTAGATACCTGGTTTTCAAAGAATTCTCTCTAAAAGACATTCTAAACAACTACTATAAGATTCTAAAAACAAAACTGACACACCTTCTATAGATTCCATACAGTTCACATCCATAGAGTTCAATTTTTACTGATATAATTTAGTATCAATGCTCTGACCAGATATTGAATAAAGCACTTTACACTACTTATCTGAAAGTATCTAACACAGGCTTCTCTAAGGCAAAACGAACTCACCAAATTTCATATTCCATAATAAAGAAGTTTTTTAAAAAGGTCCATATTACAAGGACATAAGTATTTTCTATGTCACCTAAACAAAGTTCAATCCTACATCAGCCTTAAGAATCTAAAAAACCTACGCTTTCCTTGCCCTAGAATGTTTCTCATAGCTAAAGACTAATGATCAGTACCAAAGAAAGACCGCACACAAGCACATTATCCACAATACTTCCTAACCTGTACTAAAAGACACTTTTTTAAAAACACTAATGTAAGAACACTGAAACACTGACCACAAAGGATATAATGAGTTTTTCTGGGACCTGAAGGCCACACCTAGCTTTTAACAATTGCTAAGAACAAGAAACACCTACCATTTGTTAATGGGCAGGTGCAGATGCTCAAGACTACTAGCTTCAGGAAAGAAAAAAGGATCGTGATATATTCATTGTTGGCAAAGTCCAGTAATTTAACAAATGCACACCTCATTGTTAAAGCCTACATGCAACTTCTGGCTATTTCACAGAAGATTCTACTTGAAGGCAAATACTTAAAATTGGGAAAAACTAATAGGTAATAAACTTGTCCTAGGGAAGCTTTACAAGTTTTACCAAGTAAAGACATGCTCTGTTCCAACAGGCTACCACACCTTGTTAAATACTAGGAATGTGCTAACATGATGCAAAATACAACTAAGCAGACAGACCTCTGTCTAGAGCAGACATCTGATTTAAGTACATCACTCAGAAAACAATCTAACACTTCCAAGTTCAAAAAAGAATACTCTTGAAGATCAGTATCCAGCAGGAAAAACCAAACAGCCAAAAACTTACCTAAAAACCTACCAATCATTCTCATTCTCTCAGTTTTAGCATATTAACAAAGCCAAAATTGAAAGATATCTGCTTAGGTAGTGTTTTCAAATCCACAGTCACTGCTCTTAAACTCTATGATGTGCCTCTAACATACGTATCTTCCAAATATCCTAGAAAACATACAACTACTCTAAACTGCATTTAAGAAAGAATTACAGGTCTTAAAACAGACACAAACTTCTAGCTATTAAGCACAACAATTATCCAGAACCTTACAATATAAACTACAGTTCAAAAGACAGGTGGAACTAAAGTTCAGAGTTAGCATCGTTATTTTAAAAAAAGAAAGAAAGAGAAAAGGCAAAGCACCGAATGTAAACAACTTAGGCCAAACAATTTAGAAGTATGATGGCCACCATGATTACCTAACAGAATTGACACATTTTCTTACTGATTAAACTAGGAAACACTTTTGTTCTACTTAAACACTGTAACACAAAACATACTTATACAGAAGTAATGTCTGTTGTTTAAGTTCTCTTTTCATCTAGACTCACTTTTCTCTTTTAATCTACAACATACAAGTCCCACTGACACACTCTACTGTACATCATTTAACCCCGCCTCCTCCTTCCCCCACACCTGCTTTGCTAGCTCTTTGAAATGCCCTCTAGAGACAGTGACAAGCCAGTAACACAAGAAAAGCAAATCCAAGGGGGAAAAAAAAACCAAAAAGCAAATACCACCCCAAACCTGTAAACTTCAAAAAGCTCCCAAAACTATTAAAACTTACTTTCCCACCAATGCGCACTTGTGCTTGCAGTTTGGCGAGTTTCTCCTGGTTCATGATAGTTTCTTTCATCTAGAAAAACAGGAAACCCTCAGAGAGGAAAGGTCTGGTTCACTCTAGCATTCCACGGTCGTTATTTCCCAAGACACCAACCAAAAAAAAAAAAAAAAAAAAAAAAAAAAAGTCCTAAACAGGCCAAGGCCTGAATTCCCAATCCACCCCGCAAAGCTCCCAATTTCAGTTTTTGAGGGAGCGTAAAGAGCACCCACTTTCCTACCCTCCTCAACTCCCCCCGCCCCCTTACAAGCCGAAAAGGGCTCTAACCCACGCCTGGTCAGCTCCCCCCACCCCCGGCCCTGGCCCGGCCTCGGCCTAGCCAGGGCCTGCCCGGCCCGGCCCAGCCACTCTCCGCAAGCCTCGCGGTACCTGAGGCTCCTGTCCTCGGGTTCCGCCGCGAGGTGGAGGAAGAGACGGCGTCGCCTCGCCCCCAGGGCAGCCGCCCCTGGCTCGACCTCGCCCCCGAGAGTCAGCCTGAGTAGGTGCGCCTGTCCGTCGCATCGCCTTCCTCTCCTCAGCCCTGTCCCTCCCTGTCTCGCTCCTTCCGGGCACTTCCCGCCCCCGTTCCCGTCCTCCTCCCACGCCGGCGTCCAGAGCCTTTTTGTACCTTGTTGGAGCGGAAATGGGACCGCGCGGGGGACTAGGGTTGGCGCTCAGGGGGTCTCGGGCGGACCAGCTGAGATTAGGTGCACACACGCGGGGACGCAAGATGGCAGCTAGAGGGAGGCCGGAAGTGATGCAACGCTGCTTCCTTCAAAAGCCAGGAAACGGACTTTGCCGCGAGCTTAATGCTTCGCTGCGCACGCGCGGCCTGAGGCCCCGGCGTTTGTGACCGGCCCGGTGGGACATTTGTCATGGAGCGCGGGCGGGTTTGGGGCCGCATAAGGGGTTCCGTGCTGTCGGCGCCTCGTGTAGTCCTGGGAAAGACCGTAGAGGAGTCAGAAAGAACGGTTCTTTGCAGTTAGGGTTGAGTAAGTCGGCCCTGATCCCCAAATTCTTTACCCTCAGAAGAAAGGGCGGTTCATATTTGCGGAAACGCTTGGGGCGCCCTGCGTGTGTTCACCTCTTCACTCGCTCTAGCTCGCTTTTTGGTGTAGATTGGAGCAATTCTCTGGATATTTTAGAATTTCCTTTCCGGCCCATATTGGCCTTTACCGAAACATTTTGTCACCACTTTGCCGAAGTAAACTACTTTTACTTTCCAGGATGAGGTGGTTTGGTGGGTAGCAGGACTATGGTTCACAATTTCTGGCGAGCGCGTTCAGAATGTATCCCCGAGGCCCGATCCTTAAAAGGGGTTCAGTCGGACTGGGGATGGAACTGGGTAATCTGAATTTCAGCAAGCGTAGCACCTACCGCCCGAGACCCCTGTACTTAATTACCTTACTTCTCTTGTTTAAACAGACAAAAATTGACTCCTTGATGTAAGTTGGCATGGATTTTACAGTTAGTGATTCACAGTTGAACAAACTTTGTTCCTTAACTCGGTAATGCAGTCAAAGGAGCATTTGTGCCTGGTGTGTTAAGAGAGGCTAAATTTTCCAACTGGTAGGGCAAGCTTTAAGACAAGCTTAAAGTCGGAATGCTAGCTGGTCAGCCTTTTTGTGGTCTTATTTATGAAAAGCCTTTGCAGACTCAAAAATGAGTCCTAAATCTTTGAGAAAACACAGTTTATATGGCAAGGAAACTTGTGTAGTTGCAGATTTCCCTCCGGTTAAAATTAATCATTTTGTTTTTTAATACTTTTCATTGGTAAATTTGTTAAAATGTGAGGTCTCTAAGAAAATAGTGAGAACAGCCATATTGCTTTTTAGGGTAATTGTAACTGTTGATATTTTCTTAAAAAACAATGTTGCTCCTCTTAAATATGAGTCAAGGTTTAGTATAGAAAAAGATGAACTATTATGCTCCGTGGGTTACTGTAAAAGTCAAAACGACTGTGCCAACATCACTCAGTACTATAGAAATACTACAGAATACATAGAAATACTTCCCTTTTGGGGGCTGCCTGGGTGGCTCAGTGGGTTAAGCCTCTGCCTTCAGCTCAGGTCCTGATCTCAGGGTTCTGGGATGGAGTCCCACATCAGGCTCTGTGCTAGGCAGGGAGCCTGCTTCCTCCTCTCTCTCTCTCTACTTGTGATCTCTCTCTCTGTCAAATAAATAAAATCTTAAAAAAAAAAAAAAAAGAGAGAGAGAAATACTTCCCTTTTTGACAGTATGTCTTTGTTCCAGAACACATTTTTCCCCCTTCTACCACGTTATACTAAGGGCATTTGAAACTCTCGTCATATAATGTTTTTTGAGCATTTACATCAACATAATATTCTTCCACCTACCTGTCACCTGATTTACCTTATATATACCTGTTTTCTGGAAATATCCCATGTTATTTTTTATTTTCCCTTGGTTCCCACTTTACTGTCTTGTTCTTTTCTAATTTTTAAGACTTTAATTATGTTGAAAATCATGAAAGTTGCTCTAATAGAAAAGACAGTTTTAATTTTTCTGCTGCTGTTTTGTGAATGGTTAGGAAATTCAGATTTTGGGGCGCCTGGGTGGCTCATTTGTTAAGTGGCTGCCTTCTATTCAGGTCATCATCTCAGGGTCCTGGGATGGGCTCCATGCTCAGCAGGGAGTCTGCTGCTTCCTCTGCCTGCTGCTCCCCCTGATTGTGCTCTCTGTCTCTGTCAGATAAATAAAATCTAAAAAAAGGGGGGAGGGGAGATTCAGATTCTGCTAATATTTATACACCAGTCTTCTAAAAAAGTAATTGAAGGGATTTTTTTAACTCCAAAAAAAGTTACTAAGTTGCTATCTTAGGTCAGTGATGACAAAACAGTAATTTATGATATCTATGGCAAGTAAGAATTACTAGCTCCCACATTTAACTGCTTAGCCTGAACAAACTCAAGGATTCAACATGACCTCTGTCAATAGAATAGGCGAGAAAGGGCAAACATGTTTGCTCTCCTTGCTTTATAGTTTATGGTCTAATCAAAGTCGATGAATTATTTTCACCTCTCAGTTGGACTTGAGTTGGCTTCAGCATGAACTAAAATACATACTTGACATAATGTTTATTAAGAGCCTATTTTCACCCACGGGAGGTATTGGAAATAACTGAGGATAAATGTTCCCGTGGTTTTAGTTGCTTTGTGATCTGGCGGTCGACTCCTTAAATTTCTAATACCCCCACCTTTGTCAAGTTAGTGCCTGCAACTTACGTAGCTTTTGGTTTAAATGTCTCAGGAAAGCCTTTTCTGACACCCTCAACCTTATTAAATTACATCCATCTTTGTTATTTTTAATTGTGGTACTTTATTAAATACAGAATGTAGATTGATAATTTTATTGAGTTAATGGAGAACTGAACTAGGAGTCTTAATAACAATTTCTACAGGATGATGTTGAGTGTTGGCTCTTTGACAGTTGGATCCTCATAGAAATCTTATGAGGTAGGTTCATCCCATAGTACTTCTCACTACTGGCCATCTAACTAGAGCTTAGAGAGTTAAGGTGTGAAGACTGACACCACTTCATCTACACTCCATTACTCTACCATCTTTATATATCTGAATCTATAAATTTTGCCTTCCTTTCTGTTACACACAGAATTACTCCCTCTACTTGTACTTTTGTGTATTTCATTCAGAACCTTGATTGTTCTGTTACAGCCCTCCTGTATCTATTCTCCCCCTTTCAACTAAGTCATTCTACCAGTGTACTAATAAGCCTCAGTCTCAAGTATCTCAAAACAGAAGAAAATGAAAAATTTTTTTACCTCTGTTCTCCTCCAGCCACTACTTAATTTTTGTGTTCCCTTTTATAGCAAAAAATCTGTCCGAAGAATTGTCTAAACCACCATCTTGACAAATCCGAAAGGTAAATTCTTAGTTCTTATTTTAGCCTTTAGGTGGCATTTGACACTCTTGGCCTCTTCCACATTTTTGAAATATTTTCTTCTCTAGGCTTCATGAACATCTCACTTCCTGGTTTCCTCTTACTGGCAGCTCAGTGTACTTCACTTTATCTTAATTCTCTGACTTCTAAATACTAGAGTTGCTTACATTTTAGTTCTATATTCTTTTCTACCTATATTCTTCCTAAGTGTTTTCATCCAGTCCCTTGGCTTTAACTGTCATCTTTATTTTGACGAGGTCCCAAATTTATAATGCTAACCCTAATTTTTTGAATATCAGACTGAATATCCTTCTTACATTATTGTGGAAAGCTTCCAAGTGCATCGGAGCACAAATAATATAATGAGCCTCCATAGACTCACCACACAGCACCAACAGTTACTAAATTAATAAATGCATACTCAGCTTTTTTTCATTCAATCTTAACAATTTTATTTCAGAAAACTTATATAAGGTCATGCTGGAAGAAAGATAACAGAAAGTCCAGTGCTGGGGAAGGGAGGAAGAGGAGGAGACAATGTCTTTTTTGTTTGTTTGTTTTGTAGAGAACCCTGGTAGAGAAACACTTGTATGAAGATGGGGAAAGAAAATTGTGCTAAAGTATTCTTAAAAGGGAAAGATTAATTGAAGTCACAGGAATTATTGAAAGCATCTTTTTTTTTTTTTAAGTTTATTTATTTTTCTTTGTAATCTCTGTACCCAACATGAGGCTCAAACTCAAGACCCTGAGATGTGGAGATCAAGAGTAGCATGCTCCTCTGACTAAGTCAGCCAGGTGCCCCCAAAGCATCTTTTAAAATCTCAGTCACCCAATATACTCTGTATTTTCGAGACCAGAATGGAATCAAGGCAGTCAATAACTTTTTTATAATTAAAAAAAAAAGCTTTAAATGTTTAATTGGTGGGAGAAAACCCACTGAAAATAAATTGCTCTTAGAATATACATTGTCTGCAGTCAGACAAGGATGATATATGGGTAGAAAGATCCTGGAGTGTCATGAAAGTAAAGCATGGAAGTCTACATTATCCAAATTTTGCTGATCATTTATTTAGCTAGCAGTTTACCTTACCACACCTTACCTTAACCACACTAAAATATTTTTAAGGCCTTTCTTGGCTGTGAAATCCTCCCCAATCCCATTATCTTCATAAAATCTTTCAAATTGGGGCACATGGGTGGTTCAGTTGGTTAAGAGTGCTTCTGGCTCAGGTGGTGATCCTGGGGTCCCGGGCTAATGCAAATTTAGCAAGGAAAAGTAAATCACTAAAGAGTTTGAAGCAGCCTTTCTTGTCAGGCAGAGAATGCCAGCAGAGCTTAAATTTTTCTAGTAGATTTTTAAAATTATCCGTAGAAGTTAGAAGTTAGCTGCTATAATAAAGCACTGTACCAAGTTTATAGAGACAAAGAGTCCAGCCTAACATCCTTTCTCTGCTTATAAGCTAAGCAACCTCCAGTAAGATTTTCACAGTGTCCTTAATTCAACACGATTTTTTTTTAATTAAAAAAAAAAGTGGTTTTGCCCTTTCTATTTTAGGTTACATTTGAGTGCCTTTTAAGAGGTGTTGTGCAGTTTCTTGGGGAAAATTCTTTTGAAGCTTTCATTTGCTCTAAGAAAATGTGACTGCAGAAACCAAATCTATAGGCATTTTTAAAATTTAAACTGTGGGATAACTTGGTGAC